GCCTGCCTTCTAATTCCCCATGGGGTTGAGGACCAGACCGAGGCAGGTGGATGTGAGTTTGAGGCCAGCCTGGTCTACAGAGCAAGTTCAAGGACAGCCAGGCCTATACAGAGATACTGTCTTGAAAAACAAAACAAAACAAAACAAAACAAAACAAAACAAGCCACTTGGATTTAGATGAGGTGGGATGCTTGCAAATGCTCTGGCCGTGTTAAAAGGCAAATCGGCAGGGTAGGTCAGCCTGCAGAGGTGAAGGGAACCAAACTACACTTCCTGGTAAAGCCATTCTCTGAAGTTGAGGGCCCCTAGTCCTCGCCCACCTCCAAATCCTGACTAGATAAACTCAGCTCTGGAGAAGGCTTCTCCCTCAGTGTGGTAAGGATTCGGCTCGTCAGTGCCACGTCTGAAGCCATCTCTTTGCTGATGCCCGTGTCAACCGCATCCAAGTCTTCACTGAGGGCAGCTTTGGACTCTGCAAAGTAGATGAGAGAAAAGCAGCAGACCAGTCACTCAGCTAGGCAGGCAGCCACCAGGGTGAGAGAAGCCACATTCCCTGTGGGCCTCAGGGAATCAGGCTGCTCTGCCAACAAGGTCTCGCTGTCAAGGCTACTCAAGGATGCTCCTAGAGTAGCCGAGTGTGAGGCCTACCTTCCTGGTTGGACAAGATGTCGCCCTCCTTCTCCAAGGCCCGGAGATAAAGTTCCAGGAGCTGCTTGGACTGGCGGGCCTCCTCTCTCTGGTCAAGCACCTGCTGGAGTGTGTTCTGGAGCCCTTGGACAGTGGCACAGCTTTGGCAAAGTTCCCGAGCCAGCTCTGAACATGGGATGTCGATGAGTGCCTGGCGGTCAAGCAAAGGCTCTGAGAAACCTCAAGGGAGTGTGGCAGCTCTCAAACACACCCATTTCAGAACATTTCATCTCTTTCTCAAGCTACCTTAAACGAAAATCTGGCTGGGCGGTGGTGGTACATGCCTTTAATCCCAGCACTTGGGAGGTAGAGGCAGCGGATCTCTGTGAGTTCGAGGCCAGCCTGGTCTACAGAGCG